AAGTAACGATGATCCTTTACCATTTCGAACAGTTGGATATAGCATGTGAGCATCTAAATTTCAAATCACCACATAAATTGCTTGAAACCACATACAAATACAGACCAAAGAACGAAAAAAAATGTCTTTCAGACTGGCGATTACATCTATCGTAATTCGGCTCAGTCGCAGCGTTGGTCACCAACATTATATTTACTTAGCATAGCATAATTTTTTTAAATGACCATTTACCCAAATTATGAGTTTTGAGAAAGCGAGAGAGAGAGAGAGCAAAGTGATATTGTTTTATTTGAATTTGTCAAATGGAAATAAACGTTATTGTTTTGTTTGATTTTAACATAACAAATATGGAATGGAATCTAAAAATCAAGTGGTCATACAAAACCATTTGTGACTTTGTGTACTTTCATTTAAGATTATTTCATGCCAAAATTCACCTGAATAGTGTGCGGTGTGCGCTCTAAAAAGCAAACAAGCCAAATCTGATGAAATCCAAAGGTTATTCAGGTTACTCACACAATCCAGTTGCCTTGGCAATACTCTGTGGTTTTGTGTAATAAAAGTATTGTTTTTTTCCTCGATTTTTTTGCTCGTTCTCATCGATATTGACTGTAATGTAATAACCATATAATAAATAGCTTTTGGGTTTATACGTTCTAAATTGCAACAATACGAATCAAGAACTGGTACGAACATTCTGTGAAAACAAGTAGGACTTTAAATTGCATTTGTTTTTGTTTTCCGCATTTCATTATCATGAATTGTTTATCGTACTGTATCGAGTTGTATTCTATCAAACCCGATTGGATTCGATACACGGCTATTGGATGGGATATGGATTGCATGTGGTTTTCGGTCAATTTTTCGATTTTGATATCAATGACTTGTCATTCCAAGGCTAAAACTATTTATATGCAATCATTTCAAACCAAATCCAATGCAAGATCATTTGGTTGAATATTTCTCGGCTAACTGAAAGATGGATTTACATTGTTTGATTCGACTGCGGTTTTGCATGACAATTTAATAAGTTTTCTGTTCATCAAGCTCGTGACAATGATGCTTTCTATAAAGTTGATTTAATTATTAAATTCATTTGAATATCTGTGTTTCATGAATTCTAAGCACTGACAACGATTGAATGTTTTGGCCACAATTCCAAACCAAAAATGTCATTTGCTCGACATTTTTTCACAATTTCTCAAAATTCGATTGCTCTCTCGAAATGAATACAATGTTTGAACACTGAATATAACAAACAGAATTCATCGAATGAAACACATAACATTTATATAGTGTGCGCAATAAAATTAAATCCAATGGAATTGACATTTGCTACTTATATGCCATTATTACTTTGCAGAGATATAGATTTTCTTTTATTTGTCAAACGGATTTTTGATTTTGACTTCAGTTGAACGCACTCAGTGAGCGCACTTAGTGAATTTATCAAACCAAATCATTTTTCGACATTTTATAGTATACATTCATTTACGAGAAATCTATTTGCCAATTTATTGCAGTTATTTAGAAAATAATTTGTGTTGGAATCAATGGATTTGGGTCTGCAATGATAAGCAAAAGAAAGAATCTGTTTGAATGTAAAATCAATAGTGCTCTCCAACTTTTTCATCTCGTAAAGCCGTGGATCAAGTGCAAAAGAGATTGAATCAAGCTTAACTTTTATACTCGAATAGAAAAAAAACATATAAAATGCAATCTGAACCTTCTTCCTTTCATATTTTATCGTTTTTTATGTTTTCAAAGAATCGATATCGATTCATGTCGCATCCGAGTATAACATTTTATAATTGCATCATTTTGTGGCATTGGGACGCATATAAACCAGTATATCAGAGATGATATGTGAGACGATAACCAGCTGCAGTTTGACCATGGTCGATGGTTTTATGCAAATTAAATTCGTTTTGTTTGTACACTTCCACATCATAATAGTGTAAATACTTGAAATTGAATTTTATTACATTGGATTATTTGATGAAGAATACGGTGCTACCAGCACTATTTATTTGATTGTTGTAATGGTGATTTTAACACTAGGGGATAACCGTGAATTGCAGATCGAATAATTTATAATAATAAACGCTATTTCTCTCTATTTTTCACTTATTCAGCTAGTATTCCTACTAGTTTGTTCTAATAAGCAAAAAATAGCAAATTTCTCTAGTACGTCAAAAATATTGCATACGTCAGATTGACAGCATGATCGAATAACTGAAATGTGTTTACGTAAATGTTTCAAGTTGACACTTTCAACGTGTATATTTGAAGCAGGCACTAGCGTATACGTTTTCAGTAAGAAATCTGTCATCAAATCTACATTTCCGATTGCAATTCGTAAATTGTAGTTAATACAGATGAAACGTGCTTGGTTACGTGCCATTGAATATATTTTTATTTAAAAATGGGAAAAAGCGTATTTAACTACATATTTTGACACATTTTAGTTCAACACTATTCAATTAGTTTGTTTTGTGAATTTTATTTTAATTAATTATTTCAATAAATTCAAGAATAAATGCTTACTAAAGTATATACGTGTACAGTGCTAATTCTGCTATTTATTGCTAATTTCGCTATTTTCTTCATGTAAATTTCCCTATTTTTAACAAATACTTTGTATTTAACATCAGTGTGGATGAAATATTTAACAAGACTTCCATTTATTTCAATATTGGAACATTTGAATTTGATATCACATTAACATTCGTTCAAAATGAAACAGATTCTCTGAAAAACTAAATGTCTATACATATATAATTTTTTTTCCATTGAATTGATATAAAATGGAATTTAAAGTTATTCTATTGCATTGTTTGGACTTGTGCTTCTGGATATATACACACCACAATTGAAAACTTTATCTCCGAATCAATTTCGCAGCCGGGAATCAATTGAGAAATACAAAAGATGACAAGTGCATAAGAAATGTTGCATTCATCACCATGGGTATATGTGTACTTCAATTTAAACGGTATAATCGAAATTCTTTGTTTGAGCATTTGCTAATTTTCTAGTTTATCGCTTTGAAAAACTTTTGTACGAATGTGTGTTGATGCTTACAGTTGAATCAATTACTCTGCACACTGTATTTGTTTGATGGATAAATCGAGAATTATCCAACGAATTGAATGTCGGCAAAGGCGAACTTATTTGGAATTTCATTTATCTTCAAAATACATATCAGTATGCAATGCACAAAGCTTTAGAAGCGGAAAGTCTTAAGTTGGAATTAGTTTTCACTCAAATTCCATGTTCATTTCATTCCGTCACATTCGACGAATCCAATCATTTTGATGTCAAGTCTTTATCATTCAGCCTATTTCTTAACTCTGATACCCATTAAAATTTCCATTTGCATAGAAAGTTTTTTTCTTCATTCCATATGATCTTAATACCATCAACTTTTCAATACTTCGAAAACGAGAGTCTTGAACATTGAAATCCTTTTACAACTTTTACATCCGATGCTTCGATACGACAAGCTGAAGCTGAACTTCATCTTTTTAAACTGAAGACAGCTCACGTAATGAGATAACGAATGTTATTCGCATTTTCGTAAGAGAAAGACGGAAGGAGAGCAAAACATATGCTGAAGTATATATTCAAAGCAACGAATGAGACTGAGAATAGTGAGAGAGCACAAGATCGAGCAGGACATGGAAGGAAATAAAAGAGAGAAAAAATGGACAAGATGAAAATAGCATAATTCTCTTTTTTTGCATCATATAAAGAGAAATGTATGTTGAAATCTATTTTTCGTTCAAAAAGGCAACGATTCGAAAGTTTTTGCATCGTTATTGCAAATATTTTCTCCATTCAATTTGCATGTCTATTTGATGGACCACAATAAATAACAAGCAGCAGCCACCCATAGAAGAACAGCAATAAAATAGAAAAATTCCGAAATATTTCAGACTTTAGAAGCAATCAGCATGAATTATTGAATTAGCCGACCTTCCAAAAAGAGACATAACCAAATAAGGCTATTTCCTTTTTGAAGTCGAACTTTATTTTCGGTCTGTATCTGTGTCTTTCTTTGTGCGTGTGCGTGTGTGTGTGTGATGATGAAAATTTGTAAAATTTTCAGTCATTTTGTTCGTGAGCTGCAAATAATGGAGTCATAAGACTTCAAAAATGTCCAGTGCTGCATTTTAAATGAATCGGAAATTGTACGGTCAAAAAGCGTTTGCATGTTTATTGATGAAAAGAAAATTACAGTAAAAGTTAAAAAGAAACTTTTCTTTGAATAATTTTTCGGTGTCAGTAAAATGCAATGTCGTATTTCCGTTGCGATTGCACTGGAAAATTACATCATGATGTCAAATTTCATTCGGTACTATTGCGAAAAGTTTAAAATTTGAATGTACAAAACGCAATTTTTCTCGTCTAACATTCACTTCATCATGGTCTTGTTTTCGTTTGCATAAAAGCAGATGAAATTAACCTGGAATGAGACAAAAAAAGAACACAGAGAAAGTGCATCTTCTGTTGGCATTCTTTCAAAACTCCGAATTGAACATTCTCTTTTTTTCTTCAAGCAACTTATTCGCTGCAGAACTATTTGGTATTTCGATGTATGAAAGACTTTTTATTTATGCCAGTCGTCAAAGGGAATTGCACAGCCATTGAGTTGCAAAATTTTATTAATACTACCCACTTCTCATTTCAATCATTTGCGTTCAACTCGGAGATTTGCCTCCTCCGATGAAGCCAGTAACAAATTCTATTACTGAACGAACAAAAAAAACAACAAGTCATATGTATAACCCAGTGAAAGATTCATGCAATGCACTCTTTCAAATGTTAAAATACGACGGTTGGTTTTCAATTTCCACAAAAATATCGCCTAACAGCCAAACGGGAGCTTGATTTAATTTCCGTTTTCATTTGCACATAGTTTTTTATATGCTCTTCCTATTGACTAATATGATTTGCTATCCACTTTTTTTCATCACTGAATTTTTCTTCATTCACAGGAATGGCAGGATTATAAGCTGAAATGGAACCCCGATGATTATGGCGGTGTCGAAACATTACACGTACCATCCGAACACATTTGGTTACCGGATATTGTATTATACAACAAGTGAGTATCGTAATAGTAAAACACATTTATGTTGGTATCATTTACAGAATTTGAGGTTCGAAATGGTCATAGGTCAGCCATAGGTTAAATGGAAGTGCTTCTCTTTTCATGCCATTTGCCTTTTTTTGTATTTTCACTGAAAGCTAGTTTTTAATTCACTTTTCTTTTTTTCTTGAATTAATGACGTTTTGTAACTTAATTGGGCATTCCTAGTGATGACGGTCATTTGAAAAAAAAATTATTCCGGAGAATTTTTCGGCATTTTAGGCTCCTTTTTTTATTTTTCATTTTTGACCACTGTATTCTTTGTTAACAAAATTATGAGTATTTTTCGAGAAGAATGTTTTTTAATACTTAAAGTTTCGCAAAGTACTCTTTTCGTCCTTTCGCTTTTCATATAAAAGAAAATTCTTGAATTTTCAAATCAAAATAATTGCGAAAAATTTTAATCCGTTTCTATGAGACTGTACAGTGTACACAATGCATGAGTAATCCGTATTATTAGTTAATTTCAAAGACAACATAGTGGGTTTTTTTTTCGAACCTTTAATCATTTTGATTACTTTAGTTTTATCCAAAATAAAAATAAAAAAATGGCATCAACTTTTATTCTATTTTGAATTCCTGATAAACTCAATACGTTATGACTTAAGTCAATATTGTGTGATGGGGCTGGATTATCTTGAATTAATGAAGGGTAGATGTGTTGATAGATACCAAAATACTCATCCTTAAACAACATCTTCGATAAATTGATATAATATGAATTAATCATTAATCAAGCGTATCACATCCTGATCGTATAAAATTGTGCATATATTGATTTAACTATCTATTTATACAATGTAATATTGCTGGTGAAATGTATACATTATAAGTATTACAAGTATCACATTGTTTATATAAGAGATAAAGAGTATATCCCCATAACACTTTTAATGATGATGAAAACTATACAGCGGATAAGCTTCAACCATTAAGAAATTTACTTTGCTTCAATCATTCTAAAATTACTTCTATGTTTATAGATTCATTTTAACGCATATGATAATGTATTTCGTAGTCCCTTTTGCGAATTAAGTTTTTATATCACAAAATTCGGGTGATAATGAATGAAAAAGCGATTTTATTCGGTGTTAGGTAAATTAAAAACTTTTCCAACAAAAAAAGTGTCTAATTAATTATCGTCTCCAGTTACCTATGCTTTGTAATATTCAACGTTAAATATTCAACATAATAGATTGTGACAGTTCTGTGGGTTCAAACCAATGACCTCAAACCCGTTTTTGATTGTGTAATAATAGAAAGAGATCGTGTACCAAATCTAATCCTTTTGAGAAAAAAAGTGTTCTCCTTAATCCTTCGGACAATAGGTAATGATTGCCTTCGAGAAAATCGAATAAGTAACAAAAACTACATTGGACATGATCCCATGATGTGAGTGCAGCTCTTTTTATCTTCTGTATAGCAATGTTAGCCAATGGATTTTTGCTTGCTCAGCACACACAGACACACTCATGCACGCACACAAGAAGTGATGTGTAAAAACTTGGAAATGTATTTTAATGTGCTTGAAAATGGATTCAGTTGTATAAACGAAAAACTATTCTATATAGAGGTATACAGCTATTTGGTTATGACCACACCAGTTTTTGAAATTGTCGTTGAACCATAGATAAGATGTAACGTAACCAACGAACATGACCAAGAATTGCTTGCAGCATCAAGATTACAATTTTGCGAAAGGAAACATTTCGATTTCGCTATTTAACGACATTTACGAATCGCAGAACGTTTTATTGCATTTTCAAACGTGAAACAGTCCAATTGAATATTTCGTTTGGCAGGAAATTGAAAGAATTTCATGTGGGTTTGATGTTGATTTTTTTTGTTTGGAAGGAGCTTAATCAAATACTATTGACGAATCTATCCTCAAAACATACCGTATGTCTGTTGGCAATAACATTTCTATTTACCAAATGACAGAACGACGACAACAGATTATCAATAAAATGTCTACCGTTGCAAACGAACAGGATATGCACTCATGATTTACACCAGATTACCAATAAACATGCAATATAATAGTTGCGCTGTCAATGGCTTTTACGTAATCGCAAATACTTTTGATATGTTATTTCAAATGAATTGACGGTGCTAATGCACTTATAACTGACATTGTTGGTTGCTGTGTGCAACATCAATTTTTTCACTGAATCAAGACAAAAAAGACTGACCATTTTACGGCAACGGTGTTAAAAGTGAGATATATAACTGACAAGTACATTATGAGGGATAATCCAAATGGCAATTTTCAAATGCTTTTTCTTCATCTACCTTTCGTACACATTTTCGAAATTAAATGTCTAGAGTATATTAAACTTTTGTATTTAAAAGTTAGAAAACAAAACCGTGCACAAATTATTTCAATGTTGTAAAATAATTGGATCACAACTGGGAACTTGTTGAGCGTAACTTAATTGAAGAATTGTTTGTCGAATACATTAGCGTTTTTAATATATTCATCGCATTGATTAGTCATAAACAAATTAGCAAGGTATATTCTGTGCTCTTGACGATTTTCATTCAATGCACTAAATTGCCAGACATGATGCAATTTAACAAACCAACCGAATTTTATATTTTCACATTGGTCGTAAACCAATTACGTTCGCTGTAATATTATGTATCCGATGATGAGGTATACGATGGCACTCATTGCTATACAACAATAATAAAAGTTCATTTTACGAAAAGAAGATTAATTTCATTATTAGAGCGGTGGATGAAGTGACGACTTCAGAAGAAATGCTTTCATATTCTTTATTGTCTCAACGGGCACATTATTCTTCAACACAGACAATGCAATAATGTAATATTACAAACTGAAGCAATTATTATCCAAGCTGGTGCACATTTCAGACTTTCTGATCATACATTTTTTTATTTTCTTTAGCATTGTTGAAACTGTCGTAGAGCATAAAATATTGTGCGCATAAATGAAGTTGTCAATAGATTTTAACTTGAAACATTGAATTACAATCATTTACTTCTATCTGAAATGCTCCGTAGCCGCAGGAAGAACCTCGCAACCGTTCCGTACCGATGATATTTCATAGAAATATTTATCATGTAACTGGTAATATTGTTGCCTCATCCAACAAATTAGTGCCGAAGTGTGTTGAGCTTAATTCAATTTTGATCTCAGTGACAATATCTTGGAAAAGGAGTCAGTTGTTATTTAAATATTCCGTTTGTCTGGTATTTGATCGCAACGAAATTGACATGAATGCAGACCCAATGAATGTTGGATACGAAGATAAAAGCACTTTAGACATAGTGCAGAGGTAACATGAGCTTTGGTGTAACTTGAAATATTCTCAAGAATATTTAATTGACAACCTCTCTAAGTTGCGCAAATAATAATAGCATCAATTTAATCTGAACTGTCATCGGCGAAAATAACTTTTTTCGATGACAAAAATACATGAACTGTAGAAATAATTGCTTTAATAGAATTGAATTTAAAGGGCAGCTGCGACAAATAACCAGAGAAAAAAAAATAATTTAAAGAAATAAACTGTTTCATTTTAAAGTAAAAAGACTTGTGCACTAGTCATAAAATCGTGTTGTACTGTTTCTGTACAGTGTCATATAGTCTTAAAATAAACTATTTGACAATAAAATAACTGTTTATTGCAGTTCTTCAGTGAAATTGTTTCTTTTAACTTGAAATTACGATTTAAAATAAATTTGTCTGTTAAATTTGGTGCAAATATTATTATTTTTCGCATTGCTAGCACAAAAAAAATCTGAACCAAAGTTGACAAAAAAAGTTTTTACCCCAATTGCGGCAGTCGTAAATTCAAATCGAAAACTTTTTTTTTAAATCATGGTCCTTCTCACACCATTGCATTTGGTTGCCAAAAATGTGGAACATAATTTATTACTTTTTGACATAATTTATGATAACATGACCACATCGGATCGCTTCATTTTTTTCATTATATTGTGAATGGGATTATTTTTTGGAAGTAGTTTCGCATATGCATATAAAAATATGTTAATGTCATTTGATATGGCGCCTCCTGCAACCAGAAATGATATCTGCTTCAATTTTGTAGAAACATTTTAACATTTACACTATAACGCCTTTGGTTACCTGGCTTGCACTTTGCAATTGCATCTCTTTTTTTATCAAATATTTGGCGTCCCCCTTGAGTTTCAACGGTATATTCAATTGCGGAGTGTATATCACAGTTTATATGAGTAGTTTGGTTTGAAGTGGAACTTAACATTTTGTTTGGTGCATTTGAAAACTTATAAACGTTTCTATTTTATGAGTTGGCTTGATCATAATTTGATTTTTATAGTGGCCACTGGCCAGACATGGCCAAAGAGTTCCAATTAGAGTAGTATAGTTCACTCACCCACATTTAACCAAAGCATTTTAGTGTTTAGTTGAGTTGGGAGTAAAAACGTTTGCTTGATTCGCAGTCAAAAGTTTTCATTTTGTGTCAAATGTTGTCGACAAAGCATTTTAAAATGGGGAATTGTGCTAAATATATATATAGATGTTTTAGTATAAAGTTAACTATCGTAAATAACTGCTTCAAAAAGCTGGCAAGTTCACTTCAATTCGTGATTTTTAAGGGCTTTTTTTAATCTTGAACTTCTGAACTCTGATTTTTTTATTCTTAGCTGTAACCTAAAAACCTTTGCCAATAACAACTTTTTTGCGGTTGTTCTCAATGAAAATCGAATTAATTTACTGTTCAAAAAGTTTTTAATGAGTTTCGAAATAATTTTATATTTATTAATGAAATAATAGCCAACGTTAAGTCCATGGCAGATATTTTTGGTATCGGTCGGTTGATACACTTTTAACAAAAGATTGCGCATACATAAACCAACAACCGCTTATTTGTTTCAATGCGACGAATATTGCTGGGCCCTTAGAATTAAAGTGAAGCAACATCAAATTCACGTCACAAAAACATCTAATGAAATCATGTGTAATTAATTATTAATTAATAGTGTACACAATAAAAAAAAGTTTGAAATTGTTTAGCCCGTAGAAATATGAAAAGTAATTTTATCCTTTTGTTAATAAAAGATTGAAAATATTCGATATTTGATAGTTTTCGGATTGGAAAAATAAATGTTAAAAAGTTTGTCACTACCGACGGCAATTCGAATCAGGATTGAAAACTTGTGTTTGACGAAAAAAAGTTTTTATTTGATAAATGACAGAAATAACATGGATTCATCTTAAATACTTGTATATATGGGTATAGCTTCGGAAACCAATCAAATATTGTGGAAATTGATTCCTTTGTGATTCGACCATATTTTATATTATTTTCAATATTTATAGTTGAAAATGTGTTGAAACTTGAAATCCATTTTTCTGTCAACATTTTTGTTTTGTTGGCGGCATGTCTCCAAAGACACAAATATATAGTGAATTGAATGCCAACAAAGTGCTTATGTTTAAATTAAATTTCAATCAAGCGTAGAAAACTCAACGTTTCATATCCGGAACCTGTATCCATGCTATTTGTTACATATTCGTTTATTTTACTTTGTCAAAACTTTTCACAAGTGTCGAGTTCAATTTTTTTTACTTTCGATTACATTTTATAAGTTGTGATGCTTTGAAATGAATTGGCTGATCTATGGCGATTTTTCAACGAACTAAAAATATCAATTCAGTAGTTCTATCCAATTTTTCAACATTGTTTCATTTATATTCTCTCCCTCTTCTTTTTCTATCTGTTTCGTTGCATGCCACCCATCATCGGAATCGTTTTGCTGGGAAAACCGAATAAAAACATGAATATAATCACCTGTCGATGTGCAATGCGGCGTTCATGTTCAATGGAAAATGTACCATGCCGTTCGACTGTATTATCATCAACAACGTTGTCACGCTGAATTCAAATATAATTTGTCATCGGTTTTTTTTTCGCCGCATATATCATGTTTGCTTCACACCAAAAATCGCTCGCTGTTTGCATCCCTGCTAATGGAATACTGCGCGCATTCACACTCAATAATCAACTTGTCTTGTCACTTCAATCATACCCCATGTCTCGCATGATTTTTACACCGCAACTTTTTGACTACAACCAACACAAATTCAAATCAAAAATTATAATCGTCAAATTGAACACACACACACACATCCGCCATCATGAACAATACGTACGCAAACTATAGTGCCGATGGAAATTATGAAGTGACAATAATGGTATGTACGATGCTCCAACCAATTTTCAATGTGCCTTTTTTGTAATATATGACTTTTTATGAATTTTCAATTTTTTTATAGACAAAAGCAATTTTACATCACACTGGGAAAGTTAGGTGGAAACCACCAGCCATTTATAAATCATTTTGTGAAATTGATGTAGAATATTTCCCATTTGATGAGCAAACATGTTTCATGAAATTCGGATCATGGGTATGTATCGGATGAAAACAATGCGTATAATTGCAACTGAAAACTTTAATTTTATTTATATTTTTGTGTCTTTTATATGCAAATCGTCTGGAATTACATCGAAACCTTCAATTGATCAACTCTTTATGCTGCAATCAACGGGGAACTATTACATAAAACAAAACGTTCAACACTTGATGATATAATGTGAATAGACATATGACGGTTATACTGTACGTATAAAGCTTCAAATTATAGAGCATAGATACATTTTTACATGGAGCGTGAAAATTTACCTTTAAAATAGTCTGGGGCATTGGTCTTTATGATTTAATTTAATTGCATCCAAAATTGCCTTTATTCGTTTAATAGTTGATCACACAAGAAACAAAACTGATAAATGACCCACCTACAGAGCTTTGTAAGGTTTCTTCAGAAATTGGCGCTCATAAATTAGATTTGAAAGAAACATTTGGTGTTCGGAAGATTTTCTGTCCAAATATTTAGGAGGAAACCAAATTTTATATTTTACTGAGTTTATGACGCCATTCATGTGCTAGTTTTTTACTAGTATTTCTAATATTTTCTGGCTTGAATAGCCACATGAGCTTTTGAGTGAATAGTATTTACTAAATACCTGATTGTTTTCTTCTTAGACAAGTAAACTGCAACTTCTACTACTTTCTCCCTTGTCATTGAACATTGAGAGTCAGTTCCGATAAGTAATGTATATGGGTTTTTGTCGAATACCGGAAATTAATTTATTAAACGAAGTTTATGTACGTTGACCGTTAGTAAAAACAATTTAAAACATTTGGTGATACCTCAGGTAATGCAAAAATGTCACAAATCAATTTGGTCATGCATAACCAATTTGGAAATAGAGAAAATTGCATGCACCGACCGAAGTACACGCTGAACTAATAAACACAAAAAGTGCATGGGACAATGATGAAAAAATCATCAGATGAATCGCCATCATAGTATTAAAAGAGTAACGAACTCACATAACAGTGTCGTTGAGTCAGTGTTAGTTGCTTGGTCATCTATTGGTACACTCATTTAAACTGTTTATATTTGTTTTTGTTATATTTAAAAAAGCCATAAAAGACGGAACAAAATAACGCAAACTCCAATATATATTGAGATTAAAAACGTAAAGTTGGTGTAAAGTTTTGCGAATATGCATTTAATTTTTGCCATTGCGATATTTTCGTATTATGCACAGAAAAAAAAATGTTTTTTTCTTCTCGTTGGTATAATATTTTTCATTTTTACTTTTTTGATTCTGTGATTTGGTTACATCGCTCATCGAGCGTGGTACATTTGCAATTTGCGCTTGCACTGATGTTTAATTGACTGTGAATGAATGAATTTGTACCGAATAAATAGCGATGCTGCTATTGCACTTGCCAACGTTACACACACACACTCGCATTCATTGTTAGTGAAGCGTGACGTGATGCAAATTATTTTTTACCAAATGGATATTAATGACAACGACAATTACATTTACATAAAGTAATGACAACTATCACGGCAATATAAGCAGCGCATCGTTTTCAATATGAAATGATGAACGCTTGTATTTTATCGTTGAAATGTATCAAACACACCGAAATTATGCCCCATAAGAGACTGTATAAAATGCAAAACTATAGCACTGCTAGCGCCACTACGGACAATTATGGAGTTCTAGTCCGTTGGTTGCAACTGAGAAAATGTCTTTTCACTATTTGGCGGCAACTTAGTGTAGATTACATTGAATTCCGTCGTGGCGCTAGCAGTGTGACAGTTTGGGCATAATTTCGGTACGGTATCAAAAGTGCGATACTTTTTTTTTCATTGATTTCGTTGGTTAGCTTCGACTCCCTCTCTTAACTGTTTCGCATCCATTCAACCCGCAAAGATTAATAAATTTTAAATTCATCGAATGCACTTCGAATACTAGTGTCTCGTGTATTTCCGAACTTACTTTATTCATGAGCTGCAACCAGTGGTGCACACATATACATACTTTAAATCAGATTATATGGCATTGTAATCGGCATGCAAATAAGGGTATTGAAATCAGATACAATTAAACACTAAAATCATTTACACGTAATCAATTCAGAAATCGATGACGACGATAATATTTGCTGAAGAACAAGATTCAATAATCGAGTGTCAAACTAAAGCGTTTCATAAATAGTGAGGATGAGTCACATTTGTAATTTACCACCAACTAATCCGTGATAATATCAATCACATTTCAAATGAGACTTTAATATGCAGAGTATTGCTCAGCGCTGCTGCCATCCACAGCATATTAAAAT